TACAAAACTCTAAAAGGGTTTGAGTCCGAATCGCTTTCTTCAAAAGTTATAGCCATTTTACTGAATTTTCGACCCATTCCTAGGTATTTATCGAAAAAATCAAATTATCGAATTTCGACCTGTAATTTTGACCATAGGTAGGTCTAATGACCCTTAGAATATTCTGAAAGTTTCAGCTAAAAAGAATGTTCCTTTCTCAAGATATTGAGTTTTCAAAAAATAGTCACTTGCCATAGATAGGTCACAAAAACCGAGTTCACTTGAAAACTCAATATCTCGAGAAAGAAATAGTTTTTTTAGCTGAAGCTTTCAGAATATTCTAAGGGTCATTAGACCTACCTATGGTCAAAATTACAGGTCGTAATTCGATAATTTGATTTTTTCGATAAATACCTAGGAATGGGTCGAAAATTCAGTAAAATGGCCATAACTTTTGAAGAAAGCGATTTGGACTCAAACCCTTTTAGAGTTTTATACTAGGGCACTATATAGTATCTACGGACGAAGTTTAATTGAAATTGGTGGGAAGCACCTGAAAAGATTCCCTCGTCAGTTGAAATTTTAGTATTTCACATTGTTCATTAGAACTGTAATGTTTAAATGAAATGATAAAGTCAAATAATTAAATAGCTTAATTATTAAAATTATTCTCATCAAACAATATATTATCAAGCTTCATATTTAATTAAATGTATGTGTGAAAAAAAGAATAGAAAAACCCAAAATTATTCTTTTTATGAAGTAACACAAGTAGTCATTAATTAATTGCCGTATTAATCAAAAATCTAAAAGACGTCTTGAAGAAAATAATATGACTGTCTTCTTTTACGTCAATTTCACATAGTTAATTATTTTATTAATAGCTTATGTCTCTTTTCTTTTTTCAATGCCTTCTTAAACACGCACTATATATATATCGTGTTTAAAATAAGAATATCAACAATTACCTGATGAAACGGCTGCCACAAGAAAAGAATTTTATTTCGATTCATTTACAAAAACTATGCCGCTGCTCATAACTATTGCATGTTATGTTACCATATATATTGGTATTTTTATTTATATATTTGGATTTTTCGGTAGTTTACTAAATATTCGTATATTATTTTCAAATCGACATAATCCATGTACATTTTTATTAATCTATGCATCAATAGTTGATTGTATTGTTCTTAATATTGGTTTATTACCTCGTATTTTTGCTGTTGGATTTAGTACCGACCTTACATTATCTAATCTTTTATGGTGTAAAATTCGAACGTATTTACTTCGTATATCAACATTGATTTCTCTTTATAGTATTTGTTTAATGTCAATTGATCGATATTTTATTAGCTGTCGAACAGTACGATGGCGACAATTGAGTAATATTCATTTTGTTCGTTGGATAACATTTCTTGTTAGTTTTCTTATTGCGACTGAAGGTCTCCCATTTTTAATTCTTACTAAAATTCTTCAAACAAATAATAATACTAGTTGTACACCAATGTATAATTCAATTTTTTCTAAATATGCATCATTTTTTTGTATACCTATTCTTTATGGTATACTTCCATTATATATAATGATAATAATGAGTATATTAATTTATCACAAATTACATAATAGAACTCATCTACGAAGAGCTCAACGTTCTTTAACATTGATAATACTTCTTCGAATATTACTTGCTTTAATATTTTGTGGTCCTTATACATCATATTTTGTTTATTCAGCTATTAGTATTCTACCTGCATCAACAAAATCTGCAGAAAGAATAGCAATAGAAAATTTTATTTTATCTATACTTAGTGTTTTTCTTTATATTACTTATTCTTCATCATTTTTTGTGCATTTTTTTATATCAGCAACATATCGGAAGCAATTAATTGACTTATTTAAATATTATCGAGGTAGACATAGAGTTGTCATTCAACCTATGCAGATGGTTTTAGTAAATTTTATTCAAAATCATGCACAAACTGTCATAAACAATAAACAGAACAATGAAACAATTTAAAGATTTTTCCACTGATCATAGAACTTTTCTATTATTTGAAAAAGTTATGTAACAGTGATATCAATAAAAAAAAATTTGATATCAATTATATCGTTTTCTGTATTGATATTTTTCTGTTGTTAGTTTTCATATTTTTTATATAACCAAAAAAATAATAATAAAATATGTATTCTAATTTCGTCTATCTTGCTCTATATATTTATTTATTTTCTCATTTGAATAAAAGTTTATGAGAAATATTTATTTTAGCGGCGGATCTAATAAGATAGGCAATCGTCACACCATTCACAAACAGAAGAAATTTTTCAGATAGTACTTCTTATAAATTTTTGCAAATTGAAAAAGTCATTAAGAGATTTCAACTTCAGTTAGTAAGATTCAATTTCATTGCTAAATAAAGCTCTATGATGAATAATCACGATTAATTAAAAAATAAACAAAAGTTTGAATTTCTTAAAATAAAGCAATACTTCAACTTCTGCTTAAGAAAGAACTATCTAACTGTTTAACTAAAACGGCATGCATGCTTTCTGAGAAAGAAAGAAAGAAAGATCAAGTTTTGTTACTATCAGGTCAGTGAACGATGAGCACGAGGAAAGATGAGCACGTGAGTGTGTAGCTCCATAATATCGGCGAAAACAAAAAAATCAGGGCAAATATGAATGGACATTGATATAGGAATCTATCGATGTTGCCTTTTCTCGAACTGCACTCAGACGTTTCCGTACTCATCGTTCCGTTTCCCCTCTTGTTCAATTTCTTTAACAGAATATTTTCTTTTTTCTATCAATATTGCCTTTGTCACTGTGTGGTTCCAAGTCATATGAATACGCAAAAATGATCTGTACACCATTTTCCACTGCGGTAACGGCTGTGAACCTTTAAAAAAATTGCGTTAACATCCAATTTGACAAATTAGCCTGCTCTTTTTTTTTTGTGGACATTAATCATGGTTGACTTTTTAATCTTCTACTATGAAAAATAGTAAAGATCTTCATGCGATAGGAGCAGTATGCATTTTGTTTCAATAGGCAGTTTTCTTTTTGACGCTCGTTTGTTGAAAATTAGACGCTATTTCACCTTTCATATATTGGATTTTGTTCGAACTGTGCATGAGACGGTCGAGTGGACGTGACAAATTGATAGAACCATCATCGTTGTTGATTATTTTTATACGCAACTTATTGGTTTGTAATGAAACCACTTCAGCTAAATCACAGTAAGTTTTTGCCGGTCCGTCTCCATTTTCATATTTATTTTTCACAATTGTTTGTATGTCTTTACTTTTCATCTTTTTTTCAAATATAACTAAAAGAACTTTTGGTTCTAACCATAATTTATTTATTCTGATCCTTTCGCTACTTGATGAAAAAATATAAATATATAAATTTTTCAAAAAAGGAAGCCAGTTAAAAAGACAATAATGTCGAAAATAAGGCGTAAAGAATTAGCGATGACGTATCTTTATTGATTATGTCTTACGGACCATTATCAGAACGATAATTAAACTTGAATCATTATCCGAGCATAATCAACTATATCAACAAATACTAATTTAATTCAACATGTTCAATCCACTGCTAATATTTGTAAAATATATTGATGTTTATATATCATGCTAAATTTAGATTCAAAACGACATGTTTTATTATTTATTTATAGTACAAAGTTTAGTCGTAACTTGAATATGTTCAATTAAATTATGTTCGGATGGTTAACAAGACAGAAAATTCAATAACAATAAAAGATTAATTTTATATCTTTAAATAAGACATATATAAATATTTTCTATTGTTTTTATTTATTTATTTTTTATACATAAAAACTATTTCAGAAGGTATTGATTCGAAATTATTACTTTCTAACTAGAATGTTCGATTCACTACTAGTTTATTTTATTAGTATCTGTTGGAAAAATGACAAAAATAAGTTATTGAGACATCATGTAATTAAAATACAAAAAGAACGATTTTTCGTTTGAATTTCGATACATTATATTGTAATTGGCTTATTTATTTTTGTAAGATTTTATGTCAATATTATTGTTCTTTTTCAGTACTAAAAATAAAATATGATCGTTTTTTATTTCTTCAACAAATATTTTAAATACGAATAAAAACTATCAACAAATAAAATATTTTATACGAACAACTTGGTATTACCATCATCAATTGCAATAATAATTAAATAAATTTTCTATAACAATAAACAGTATTTCAAAAATTATGGATGATTATTGAAGTTCACATCCAATTTATGAGATTCTCTCATGAAAGCATTTATTAATAAGCAGAAAGAAAAATATAAGCTGAAAGACAATATTGAACACTTTAGAAAAAAAGAAAAACAAAACAATGACGTCAATGAACTATTTACATTTGTATGCACTACTGCAAATATTACTCACAGTAAATAAAAAAAAAAAAAATTAAAGAAGCTTTAAAGAAGCAAAATGCTGTTGATATCTCTTAATCATAGGTCCTATTATTATTTTTCACGGCCAAATGTAATGAGTAATTTTTTTAACATTTACTCTGGCTAATAGTCTACAGAAAAAAAAAAAATCTCGAGTTGTCATTAAGCTTCAAAAATGTCTAGAAAATAAACCCCCTAATTAAAGGATAGAAGAGCACAGTTGTAAATAATTAATGTTGTAAGAAATTCAAATGATAGAATACTTTATAAAAAAAAAAAAGAAGTATTAAGAATTTCTTCTTTTTCTATTCAATCATTCGTCAAATTATTCTAGATGAATGCAAATTCAGAAGAAAAGGAGAAAAAAGAAAACAGAACATAAAAAAAAGAAGAAGTTAACATTATTCATCGATACTCGACCTGAAGCAAACGCTGTTGGCAATGACGCATGGCGTATTACTCAGAAGGTGATGTTAGAAACAATCATAAAAAAAATGTCCTTTTCAACATTGAAAGAAGAAAGAGAATAGTCTGCTAGCATTCTCATCGTCGTCGTTCTGACTTGTTCTTTACAGATTAACATATCATGGCAGTAGATAGTAAAGATTTAACAAATATAGATTTTGATCATGATTGGAAATGTTATTGTCAACAATCAAATGATAAAACTGATGAAAAAACTATCATTTCAATTGCAAATAATATTAATATAGATCAACGTTGGTCTTCTATCCTTTAATTAGGGGGTTTATTTTTTAGACATTTTTGAAGCTTAATGACAACTCGAGATTTTTTTTTTTTCTG